GGGGGGGGGGGGGGGGGGGGGGGCTGAGCCTGCCCAGCTCCTGGAGTAAGAGCAAGGGCCCAGGCCCCTTCCCCTCCCCGCTGGCCCTGCCCTGGCAGCGGAGCAGCAGCCCCAGGCCCCTGGGCTGGGGGCTGCGGCCGGCAGGTGGGCAGGCAGCGCGGGGGGGGGAGCAGAGGCCCTTTCCCAGCCCTGGCCACAGCAGTTGCCAGATCGGTTTCAGGGCGATGCGGGCAGCGGTGTTCACGGTGGCTTAGCGGGGCAGCGGCTAATGCACAACAGCTGCGCGGCTCTTTGTGCACGGGCCAGCCCTGCCCCCGCGCCAAGGAGGGGGCACAGGTGCACACGCAGCCGACACGCCTGGGCACAGCACGCTCATGCCTGGGTGTAGACCCTGTCCCGAGCGCCAGGACTGCGAACAGGGCCCAGCCCTTGGCTGCGCCGCACTACATGCATGCACCAGCCCTGGAGACCAGCCCTTTCCTGGGGCATGGGGGGAGTGGGGGCAGCCCCACAGCAGCAAGGGGCAGCACAACCCCCTGCCACGGGGAGGGGGGACACCAGGCTACAAGGCCCTTAAGGAAACACGTTCGTGCTGCCCCTTGGAGAGGGGCTTTGGGGTCAGGCCCTCCAGCGCCTGCGGCCCCAAAACCGCCAGCACGAGGGTCTTACTCCAAAAAATAATTTATCGAGGCTGCCGGACGCACACAGATATAAAAATCCTCTGGGACATGAAGAGGGGGCCTGGGCCCACCAGTGAGAGGAGAGGCTCTGTAAAGTCCGTGGAGGGGGCAGGCAGCCCGCAGGGCCCGCACGCAGCTCCCCGGTGCCTGGCGCTGCCCCACGTGGACCCGCTCCCTCTGCTGTACCCAGGGGGGCAGCCCGGGCAGGAAGCAGGGGCATCACAGGGCAGCAGCGGAGAAGTCCTGTCCCTGGGGCAGCTGCTTGCAGTCCTCCTGGGAGCGCGCTGGGCCCCAGCGCTGGGTGGCACCAACCACCGGGCCCTGGTGCCATCAGCAGCTCTGCCAGGTGCTTGCAGGGCCTCATGTCCGGCCACCCGGGTAGGTGAAGAGGCAGGGCGCCAGGGGCAGGGGATCGTGGGTGAAGACGGAGTCGGAGGAGGAGCAGGTGCTGGTGGTGTCCTCACAGGAGGGCGAGTACTGCTCGAAGGGCATGGACAGGTCCAGGTACTGCGGGAGAGATGGGCATAAATGTGCGGGTGGAGCTGCAGCCCCACTGCCCCCATCCGAGGGGCCGAGCTGGGACCACGCGCACTCGCCCGGGGCCAAGCAGGTCCCGCCTGTGCCCCCAGAAGCCGCCCGCACCGCCCAGCCAGCCCTACCTCCTCGGAGACAGCGGCCAAGATCTTGTCCAGCGCCTCCACCAGCTGCTTGAAGGTAGGGCGCTGCGAGGGCACGGCGTGCCAGCACTCCCGCATCAGCATGTACCTGCGGGGGGGAGCCATCAGCCTGGGGGTCCCACACCCCTGCTCCCGGCTGCAGGGGACCCCAGCCCCGGAGCTACTCACAGCTCGTGCGTGCAGTTGGCCGGCTTGTCCATGCGGTGCCCTTCGCGCAGGAGCTTGAAGAGCTCCTCCACGGGGATGCCAGGGTAGGGTGACCCGCCCAGCGTGAAGATCTCCCACATCAGGATGCCAAATGACCACCTGCAATGCACCCGCCATCAGGGCTGGGGGAGGCCACGGCCATGGCCCAGGCGCGCCTCCCAGGTGCTTGTGGGGGGGACTCGGTCTCTGAGGGACGTGCCTGACAGTGTCCGTCCCACAGCCTCTGAGCCCACCCGCCTGGACAGGCACTCACTGCCTTTGGCCCCTACGGCCAGGGCAGTCCTGAGCACACGCCAGGCCTCGTCCGGCCCCATTGCTGCCCACACCACGGCACTCACACGTCGCTCTGGTGCGTGTACACACGGTCAAACAGGGCCTCTGGTGCCATCCACTTCACCGGCAGGCGGCCCTACAGGGACAGGCAGACCTCAGCCCCGTGCGCCAGCGCTGCCTGCTCCCAGACCCCTCCCTGGCCCCCACGCTCACGTTGCTTGTCTTCTTGTAGTAGTCGATGTCGTGGACGTCGCGGGCCAGCCCGAAGTCAGCAATCTTCATCACGTTCTCCTCTGTCACCAGCACGTTGCGGGCGGCCAGGTCTCGGTGGATGCACTGCAGCGAGATGGGCCCTCAGAGCGGGGGGCACCAGAGCAGCGCCTCTCCCTACCCCTGCCCCTGCCCCTGCCCAAAAGCCTCCCGCAAAGAGACAGGCCATAGCCCTGGCATCATGAGGGGCGCGGAGCCAGGCCTGACGGCCCCCTGGTGCACCCCCGCCTCATTGGGCGGCGTGAGCATGGCGCCCGGCCCCACCCCACAGACTCACTGCCACCCCCGAGCCAGACCAGGCCTCACCCGCTTGGACTCCAGGTACTCCATGCCGCGGGCCACCTGGTAGACGCAGGACACGAGGTCCTTGAAGGAGAGCTGCTCGTCAGGCGGGCGGGCGGCGTCGAAGGCGTAGTCAGGTGTGGGTGGGCGCCGGGCGCGCAGGAACTCACGCAGGTTCCCCTTGGCGGCAAACTCCACGATGACATACAGTGGCCCTGCGCGGCGTGGGGGCACCGGTCAGTGCCGTGGCCAGGCTGGGCACGTGGGCTCCAGCCAGCCTGACTGCACAGCCCTGCCCCTCCCCACCCCGTAGCGCTGAGCAGCTGCCTGTAGTGCTCTCCAGCCTCCGCACAGCAGTGCCCACGCCAGGGGAGCGGCCCCGCAGAGCCCCTCACCGTCCTGCGTGCAGACCCCCAGCAGGTTGATGATGTTCTTGTGTTTGTCCATCAGCTTCATCATCTCCATCTCTGAGATCAGGTCGGCCAAGTCCTTGTCCGTGGCGCTGTCTGGAGGGGTGTGAGAAGAGGGTCCCTGGGCTGGAGGCCTGGGCAGAGCCTGAGCTCCCCATGTGCATGCACACACATACACATGCATGCGCGCACACAGGCACGCACCCCAGAGGGCACCGGTACCTTTGAGCATCTTGACGGCCACCGTGACTGCTCTCTCGGGCTGGTCACGGTCGATGCCGTAGGCCTCTGCCCGCACCACCTGCCCGAAGCAGCCTTCCCCCAGGGGCTTGCTGAGTGCCAGCCTGTGGGACAGAGCATGGGACTGAGCCCTGGGGGCAAAGGAGAGGGCCCCAGCGTGGCCTGGACACAGCCCCAGACAGGGCATCCCCTTCCCCCCACCCCGCGGCCCCCCATACTTGTCACGGGGGAACTCCCACATGGAGTCCAGGGGCAGCTCGAGCTCCAGGACGCCGGTCAGCATCGGGGTGCAGCTGGACGACAGGCGGGTGACACGCATCAAGGATGTGCTGGACTTCCCCGAGGAGCTCGAGTCCAGCGAGAACTGCAGGGCAACCGTGGAGCCCATTACTGCCAGGCCTGGGGCAGGCGCAGGCCCTGCCCCCCCCGCCAGGTCCAGCCCCCCATGCCCACAGGGCGCCCGCACGCACCTGCCTCATGAGCGGGAACTTGGAGAGCTTGTGGACGGGCACGGGCTCCAGGGGCTGCTTGCTCGGCCGCGTCTGCATCCGGCACAGGACCATGATGACAGCCGCCATGACGACGGCCAGGGAGCCGGACGTGTAGATGATGATGTCGGTGGACTTGACCTCCGGGGCCTCCACCTCCCAGGCCCACTCCTCCTCTGGGCACAGCAAGCCTGCCGTCAGCCTGGGCTCCTGGGCCATGGCCGCCACCTCCCTGCCCCGGCCCGGCCCAGCCCGGCCCAGCCCAGGCCGGCCGGCCCGTACCTGGGAGCACGGTGAGCCAGGCCGACTGGTGGGACAGGCCAATGGAGTTCCCGGCCAGGCAGGTGTACTCGCCGGCGTCCTCCATGGAGACGTTGCGCAGATACAGCACCTCGATCCCCGAGCTGTTGATGTCGGCAGTCTGGGGGGCAGCAGCGCCAGGCTGAGCTCCAGGGTCAGCCCCCTCCCGAATGGGACCCAGGTCCAGGGAAGTCTCCCTGGCCCCCGGCCCCCACTGCTCTCGCCTTGCTCAGGGGCAGGACACGCGCAGCCCTGATTCTCCCGGGACCCCCAGCTCCACCTGTTCCCCTGGTGCCCAGCCGCCTCCTGCCGCTCCCCAGGGCCCTGCCTCAGGTGGGCTCAGCTGCTCAGGGCATCACGGGACTTGCCCAGCAGCGATCAGGCCTGGCCGGGTCCCCATGACGCCGCCGCGTCCCCTCCACTGGTACCTTGAGCACTTGGACGTAGGGGATGCCGTCGGGGCCGTAGCTGCTGCCGTTCAGCTTGATGTGCTTGAGCCACTGGATGTGGGGCTGCGCGTCGCTGTACACCTTGCAGAAGAACTCCACGTCGCTGCCAGCCTGGGCCGTGGTGTTGGCCGGCAGCCCGGCCTGCAGGATGGGCCTGTGCGGGGACCGCTCTGCCGGCGGCGCGGCTGCGTCAGCCAACGGCCCTGCCCCCCCGGCACCCGCCCGTGGAGCAGGGGCACCGTGGCCTGGGAAACCCCTGCCCCACAGAACCAGCCTCCCCACCCATCTG